CTTATTGCCAGCTACATAAGGCTGATCAGGAATCTTTTTCAGGATAAGGTGGCATTCCTTGATTTGTGTATCCAGGCTGTGTGTTACTCTCATTGTTTCTTCTCTCTGCGCTTTGGACCTGAGGCAAATCTGAAATTCAAGATGGCTGCCACCTGTGTTCTTGCCTGCTATGCACCTAGGTCTCCCTCATGTTTTGCCCTAAGCTTTCACCAGTCTTTGTGATGTGTGCGGGCAGTTTCAAGTTGCCGCTTCTGAAATACCCCTCCCCCTTTTCCAGGAAACAGTGTGAACCCGAACCATGTAACAAAGTGCACTGCAGTTGATGGAACATGTGTCTTTTTACAAGCATCCCTGCATTTTTGTTAACTTAGTAAACCTTTCCGACATTTAAATTATCCTCTTTGCTTTTCTTCTTTGTAGTCTGACTCTAGCTTTTTTTTTTAAATCATTTTATTCCTCCCACACACCAAACACACACAATGCTTTGTTTTCTTGCTAAGCTGAGTGACACCATAGCCAGTGTATCACTGACTATTTTTTTTAAACTCTGTTTGTTTTGGAGCTTATTGTTATTCCTGTCCTCTCACTGAGAGTTTTATATACACGTTCTTTAAAACAAATTATATCTGGCCAAGGTCTTATGATTTCCACCATCAAGCTGCTTTTTGTTTTTTGTTTCATCTACTATACAAATATTATATATATATATGAAAATAAAAGAATGAGGGAGCAGGGCCAGTGCCAAAAGGCTGATTCTTTGCTGTGTTTCGGAAATCAAGCTAAAAGAGAATTCAGACGCAATTGCAGACTGAATGGTTGTATGTATCCAGTGACACCCTTTCCTGTGAAAGAGGTACCTTGGCAACACCCGTTTTACGCCTCAGGCTAGGATGTGGCACCGAAAGATGATGCTGAATCCAATAATGTTTTCCCCCCCGATTTGCACAAAACCTTACACAAGACATAATGGGTTGGATCCAGGCTAAATTTTCCACTAATGGAAGGGGAGGAATAATGGAAGGGGAGGAATAATTTCTGCCAATAATTTCTGCCCCTTCCCACTACAGACCCGTGATTTGCTCCTGAGGCTTGCCTGCCCCCCACGAACAGCATTTGTGGGAGATCGGTGGGCCGCAATGGGAGGGGGAGAGGCGGAAAAGTTCCGTTCTGCCAGTGGGAGATTTAGTCTCCGTCCAACAGAGCCTACTTCTGCCATCTCTGTGTGGGCTCTCATACAATGGCTCGCACAGACATTTGCAGAGCGGCACTCGCAGCTATTTTCCTTACACTCACAGTTCTTTGGGCCCAATCCCTTCACTTCTTCTCCTGCCCTCTTAATAAGTTGGCGTGTGAGTGAGCTCGTATTACCATTAAATCACATAATGTGGTATCTGACATGAACACTAGCAAAGCGGCCTTCTACCGAATCAGCCCGTCAGTCGGTATTGTCTGCTTAGCCTGGCGGTGTGTCTCCAGAGTCTCCGGCGGAGGTCTTTCACAACACCTCCTACAGCACCCTTTTCACTGGAGGTGTCGGGGACGGCCATCCTTCGGGCACTCCCTGCCTCCCCGTGAGGCAGTGACACTGCGGGAATTTTCAGCGTCATCTATTAGATTTGATCATTGTTGTTTTTCCTGTTTTTATTTTGTATTATATTAATTCATTACATGTTGTACACCGCCCTGTGCCCAGTTCTGCAGGGGAGGGTGGTTAAAAACCCAATCAAACAAATGAATGGAATTGCTGGGGATCTTCAACTGAGCCATAGAGCTCCTCCCTGACATAAGCTAAGTATGATGCTGGTGGCAACTATGGAACTGTTTTCAAGTTTTTGGAATCGTATTTTTTTTCTGGGGGGGGGGGATGTTTGGTTTTTTTGAGGCAGCATAGTGAAACCTTCCACGGAGAGCTTCTTGGATGAGCAGAAGGGGCCAGTTTGGTGTAGTGGTTAGGAGCGCGGACTCTAATCTGGGAGAACCAGGTTTGATTCCCCACTCTTCCACATACAGCTGCTGGTGTGACCTTGGGTCAGTCACAGTTTTCTCGGAGCTGTTCTCTCATGGTCAGTTCTCAAGAGAGCTCTCTCAGCCCCAGCTACCTCACAGGGTGTCTGTTGTGGGGAGAGGAAGGGAAGGAGACTCCTCTGAGACTCCAAGTGAAGGGTGGGGTATAAATCCAATCTCTTCTTCTCTCTTCCTGCACTAGAATAGAATGCAGGTGCCAGTAGAAGGAAACAGTAGGATCCAGCTGCATGACAGCAACATGCGCGGGCCATTTCCCCACATTTAGTCGCTGCTGTATTCAAGCATTGCCATGATGCTAATAATATTGGCTTCAGTACTGGAGTGTAGCTTAGGCTGTGCATTCTTTTGACCCTACATGTAATGCGTTTTTAGAAACCCAGCTATTAGCCAGGATTTTATCCACTGGCTCAGACTCTTCCAGTTGAAAATGTGTTGAGATTGAGGCAGCATTAAAATGTAAATGAGGGTAATTATCATTTTTTTTGGGGGGGAGAGGGGACTTTACAATGATGTCTACTGAGTAAAATTACTACAATGTTGTCATTATGCTAACATAGTAAATAAAGCTGCTGGGAAGGTTTTTAATGTCAGACTGTACCTTGTTTCGATCATTTGGAGAATTTGGTTAACCAGCTTGTCACTGTCATTGTTTTTCCAAAGGGTATTTTAGTAGAAGGAAGCAAAATTAATATGGTCGACTCTCAGTATTGGAATGAGTCATCCAGTATGCTGGCAATAGCCGTTTAGTACGGAGTCGGAAAAAAGTGTAGTGCAAAAAAGCCAAAACGCAACGGTTGTTGCAAAAAGCAGTTGCTGTGACTCCCCAAGGGTTGCCAGGTCCCCCCGGCCCCTGGCAGCAGATGGGAGAGGGGTAGGGTTGCCAGAAGCAGGTTGGGAAACTTCTGAAGATTTGGGGGTGGAGCCTAGGGAGGACAGAGACCTCAGTGGGGTGCAATGCCACAAGACTGTACCCTCCAAACCATCCATTTTCCCTAGGGGAACTGATCTCTGTAGTCTGGAGATGAGCTCTAATTCTCTGGGATCCCCGGGTCCCACGTGGAGGCTGGCATCCCTAGACTCCTCCCACCCCACCCCATACCCCTGAAGACAAACACAAACCCCAGAATGTGCTGTGTTCCATATTGCAAACCAGAGACCAGTTAAATTGGATGGGGGCATCCAGTTAAGTTGCTTGGCAGTAGATTATGGATGGGCAAAAGGAAATACTTCCTTAAACAAGTGATTAACATGTACAGCTTGCTAGGGACTTCCGGTTGATGGTGGCGCGCTAGCAGACTCACCTCCCGGGGGGGGGGGAAGCTGCACTCCAGCAGAAGGAGGGGGTGCGCAGGATTGTCACCCCCCCAGGGACCCGGTTGAAGGGGCTCTGGTGATGGGACTCTTGAGAGGTCGCCTCTTCGCCGGTGCGATGCCGGGGAATTGAGGCGCTTCTCCGTCCCCACGGTTCTTCATGGTGCGAGACCAAATGGAACTAAGTGACACCGACCAGGGCAAGTGCAGGAGGTCAAGCGAAAGAAACGGAGCTAAAACGGGGTCTACGGACCAATTATGAACGTGAGTTCAATTAAAGCGATCGGTTAAAGTGAAAACAAAGCACTCCAAAAGGGAGGTACTACAAAGGGATCTGTCAAAGATGGGCAAGTGGGCGTCAACATGGCAAATGGGGTTCATTGTGGCCAAGTGCAAGGTGATGCACATTGGAGCCAAAAATCCTAAATATAAATACACGTTGATGGGGGTCTGAACTGGCAGAGACCGATCAAGAGAGAGATCTTGGAGTCGTAGTAGATAACTCACTGAAAATGTCGAGACACTGTGTGACTGCAATAAAGAAGGCCAATGCTATGCTGGGGATTATTAGGAAGGGTATTGAAAACAGATCAGCCAATATCATAATGCCCCTATATAAATCAAGAGTAGTACATACGATTGTGTGGCCTCAGAATTTTTGCCAGCTGCATTTTGTAAACCAGACCCTGATGGCTTTTTTAAAAGGATAAGAGAAATTCGTTGAGGGTAGCCCATCCAGCAGTTGGGCTAGCCAAACAGGACCTGTTGCTCAGAAATAGAACACCTCCGGATTACCTTTGGTGGAGACAATTGGGGAGCGCCGTCCTGTTCTCATCTTGCTTGCAAGCTTCCCAGAGACCTCGGTTGGTTGCGGTTGGCAACCAAACGCTGGATTAGATGATCCTTTTACCTAATCTAGCAGGGCTACTCATTTCCTTGACAAAACAGATTGTGTCGGGGAGGTCCATGGAAACCTCAGGATTGTAGTAACAGCCCCAATACACTGAAGAATGTATTTTCACAGCCATGTTGCTAACATATATAGGGCTTTGTGTTGGGGGAGGGGTGTTACCATGGTGCTGGTGGAAAGTGTCATCAAGTTGCAGGTGACTTACAGAGACTCCGTGGGGTTTTTAAGGCAAGAGACGTTCAGAGGTGATTTGCCATTGCCTGCCTCTGCATAGCAACCCTGGACTTCCTTGGTGGTCTCCCATCCAAATGCTAACCGGAGCTGGGCCCTGTTTAACTTCTGAGATCTGACGAGATCAGAGCCAGTTTGGTGTAGTGGTTAAGTGCGCGGACTCTAATCTGGGAGAACCCGTTTTGATTCCCCACTCCTTCCCTTGCAGCTGCTGGATGACCTTGGGCAAGCCATAGTTTTGTCAGAGCTGTCCTTGAAAAAGAGCAGTTTCTGTCAGAGCTCTCTCAGCCCCACCTACCTCACAGGGTGTCTGTTGTGGGGAGGGGGAGGGAAGAGTTTGTAAGCCGCTCTGAGACTCCGAGTGAAGGGTGGGGTATAAATCCAACCTCTTTTTCTTCTAGCCTGTGCCATCCATGTCAGGGTGGGTGACCATGTACCCAGATTGAGCTAAATACTAACCCAGAGTGTATCTGCTATATGTTATTTGTCTTTATTTGACTTCTCTTTTCACATATCTTTACAGATTTGTTTCTTACGACAGTATCGTCGAACGAAATTCAGTTCGAAACATGGGTAAATCGGGTAAGGAGAATAGATAATGCAAAATGTTTTTGGACAGGGGGAAAAAAATAAGTGATGCCCGCAGGTCTGTTAAACACAAAGGGGTCACGCGGTTGTGCTGATTTTTTGAAAAGCAGGTGGAATTACGGAAAATGTAGCTGCAGTTTTGCACCGTGAACTTTTCAATATTGCTGGGAGGTAATGTTTTACTCAGCATCCTTCCCTCCACAGGATTGAAGCCTGGCTGCCAATTAAACCAATCAGTCTGCCCTAATGTGTACGTTAACAGGACTCCTGTAGGGCTGTCATCTGTTGTGTGAGATTACTGCCGCTTAATGTGTCGGCAGGACGGCTTATGCGGGGAAAAAACATATCAACAGAGTACACTCTCTTCCAAGTTGCTGTCAGGCTTCTGTACTATCTAACTCAGAGGTGCTGAACTCATTTTGTTACGAGGGCTGGATCTGACATAAATGTCACTTTGTCAGGCCGGGCCATGTGTGCCATTAAATGTAATGCCAGGTACCGGAGGTATTTTACCACTGACCATGACCCATAGCCCTCCTCAGCAGAGCTTGAGGTCAAACCAGCCCTCCTCGCCCCTTATGGTTGCCAACTCTGGAGATCGGGGGGGGGGGCTGCATTTGGGGAAGGGAAGGACGTCATCAGAGGATAAGGAAAGGTAAAGGTTTCCCTTGCTCGAAAGCCAGTCAAATCCGACTCTAGGGTTGCGGTGCTCATCTCCGTTTCCAAGCCGAAGAGCCAGCGCTATCCGAAGACTTTTCCATGGTCATGTTGCCGGCATGACTAAATGCTGAGGTGCACGGAACGCTGTTACCTTCCCACCAAAGTGGTTCCTATTTATCTACTTGCAGTTTTCTTGCTTTCGTACTGTTAGGTTGGCAGGAGCTGGGGCCAGAGAACATAAGAATATAAGAGACACCAATGTTGGATCAGGCCAAAGGCCCATCTAGTCCAACACTCTGTCACACAGTCGCCAAAAATACCAGGTGCCATCAGGAGGTCCACCAGTGGGGCCAGGACATTAGAAGCCCTCCCACTGTTGGCCCCACCAAGCACCAAGAAGACAGAGCATCCCTTGCCCCAGAGCCCCTATCTATACCTTGTGGCTAATAGCCACTGATGGACCTCTGCTCCATATGCTTATCTAATTCCCTTTTGAAGCCGTCCATGCTTGTAGCCGCCACCACTTCCTGTGGCAGTGAATTCCATGTGTTAATCACTCTTTGGGTGAAGAAGTACTTCCTTTTATCCGTTCTAACCCGACCGCTCAGCAATTTCATGGAGTGCCCACGGGTTCTTGTATTGTGAGAAAGGGAGAAAAGTACCTCTTTCTTTACCTGCTCTTTCCCATGCATAATCTTATAAACCTCGATCATGTCACCCCTTAGTCGTCTTTTCTCCAAGCTAAAGAGCCCTAAGCGCTTTAACCTTTCCTCATAGGGAAAGTGTTCCAACCCTTTTATCATTCGAGTTGCCCTTTTCTGCACTTTTTCCAAAGCTATAATATCCTTTTTAAGGTGTGGTGACCAGAATTGCACACAGTATTCCAAATGAGGTCTCACCATTGATTTATATAGGGGCATTATTATATTGGCTGATCTGTTTTCAATACCCTTCCTAATAATCCCCAGCATAACATTGGCTTTTTTTATTGCAGTCACACACTGTCTCGACATTTTCAGTGAGTTATCTACTACAACTCCAAGATCTCTCTCTTGCTCAGTCTCTGCCAGTTCAGACCCCATCAATGTGTATTTATATTTAGGATTTTTGGCTCCAATGTGCATCACCTTGCACTTGGCCACATTGAACCCCATTTGCCATGTTGACGCCCACTTGCCCATCCTTGACAGATCCCTTTGGAGTGCCTCACAATCCTCACTGGTTTTCACCACCCTGAACAACTTCGTATCATCCGCAAATTTAGCCACTTCACTGCTTACTCCCAACTCCAAATCATTAATGAACAAGTTAAAAAGCCGTGGACCAAGTACTGATCCCTGCAGAGACAGGAGCTCACTCTGTCATGCGGCACTCGGGTCTCGAACTGCCGAGCTATCGACCTTCCGGTCTGCAGCTCAGCATCTTAACCTCTGAGCCACCGCGGCCCTACAGCAGAGGATATAATACCCTAATATAGGCCATTCCAGTCCACATTTGGACGGGTTTCCCCCCTGAATGAGCCAGTTCCAGCCCCTGGGCTATATGTTTGTTATGTCTGATCAAAACGTAGCTGGGAAAGA